TTTGCAAATAATAAAATAGATTTATATGCCCTCCCTGTAGGAACAAGAATTCCATCACCTCCTCCTGAATTTCTGAGCTATCGAATGTTTGATGAGTGCTTCGGGAATCAGTATTGTGTCTTTTCACAGCAGTAATCAAGGAATGAAGTATTCTCTGCTGTAATGAATCTACCGCAGGCCCAAAAGATGAATATTTCAAATGCAGAAGCAATATGTTTGTTTTGAACACATTTAAGTTTGGCTTTAATAAAGCAAGTAGTGAAGTGTTCAATGAATTATATTGTTAGATGGTTAAAGCAAAGCCATGCAATACGTCTGAATGCATTTAATTCAAGTAACTACTCATTTTAAATGCAACTTGAAAATATGTATTACATGTACATATACGAACGGATGACTCAGGAACCAGCGAGAGATCTGGGCCTTCCCTTCCACTCCTGGCTTGCTTCAAAACCAGCTCAGCCTCACAATTAGCCAAGGCCTGGAGCCAGGATATCATTAAGTACAAGTCGAACCTCATGCAGGCTGAAATTAAGCACGTGCACCAACTATTCAAGTTCGGATCATTCAAATCAAGACTAAAGTGCCCTGCTGGACTGGGACCTGCTACACGTTTCAGCAGATTGGTGGGTCTCAACATGCAGCCACAGGCAAGTTTTAAGAGGTCCACAAAGCAGTGAGCCCTTGCAGACGGGTCCCGCCACTGCGGTGTTACCGTTTCTGCAAATCCAGAAGCCTTTACTGCAGACCAAGAGGATACCGTTGGCGGGAGGTAATGGATATGTGAAGTTAAACATCTTCCACTAGCACTAGTTTCACTTTGAGAAATACCAAGTAACCCCAATACTGACAGGAACGGTCATATTTTTTTCTCCTGAAAAGCTTGTCAGGAGGCAAAGAGAAATCATTGGCATTACCTCATTTGTCTCCAGAAGATTCGGATTTTTGCTAAAATAACAAGTCAGTTCTCTTTAACAACAAAAAAACCAAGAGCTTTTTGACTCACATTGCTGTTTAATACCCTGATCCCCTCTCCCTCTTGAAACATACTGACTTCTTTCCACAGACACTCCCACTTCAAGAAAAAAGCCATTTTTCCCACTGATTCCCCCACCCTCAGTGAAGCACGTTTATGGGCTTTAATAACCATTATACCTGACACCAGCAGGCTGGAGTTCCCTTCTCCCCTTTTCAGCTTGTTCCAGCTGAATAGCTTTTAAAATAATTTGAACTAAAAAGATCAGAGGTTCCTAAGTCACTTTGCTCCTCTGCTACACTCACTGTGGCCTCAGTGAGGACAAGAGAGGATCTTGAAGGAAACACCATGGCATGGTGCAAGGTTTTGTTTGTTTGCTGTTTGGTTTTTGCAAAGCGACGCACCTCATTCTGCCCCAAATACACAGCTACAGAACAAAAGTCTGCAGGAATTTCCAGCAGCGCTCCCCTGTATGTACAATAGTCCCCAGCACGATGCTTGAAGTGATGCTACGGTCAGAAAAGGGACCAAGTATCATGGGACCCTTCTCCTCAACATACCTGTTCACTTTACAACTTGTACTCCAATGCAGAAATCAGCTTTCAGAGCCCAGCTAGAGATTTCAGGCCAGCTCATCTCATTTGCAAATGAGAATACCTGCCATAGAGTCCCCACAGTGCTATTTTATGTGAGACCCTCTGAGTGTCTACCCACAATGAAATACAGAGATGAGCAATTACAGCAGTTTGTATACGCAAGAATTGTTTCCTGATTTTAACTAGTTTTTTTTTGTTTGTTTGTCAGGTCAACTGACCTGCAGCATGCAAACAGAAATAGAATTTATCAACAGTTTACAATGGAAGCAATGAGAAAAGCATAGATTTAATTAGCAATTACAACAAAGTTCCAAGTGCTTCAATTATCCAAGTTCAGAACCAATGTACTTTACCTGGAAATTGCCCCTGAAACAGTGAATTCAGTAAGGAAAATTCTTATATAGTCCAAGTTAATTTATTTAAAAAGGAGGAAAGAGGGTTCTTAATTATTTAATGTTTCACCAATAATTATATAGTTCAGTATAATGTTCACTCACTGGAGAACCTGATTTTCAAAGGAAAATTTGTGAACATCAGTCAAACAAAAACCACCTGCCAGACTATAAATTCAGTCAGTGCAGTACACATTTATTCCAACACAGCATTAACACATTAGCAAATATCCAAGTCTTGACTTAATGGCAAATCTATCCAGTAATTTCTGTGTTAAAATATTCACATAGAAAAGCATGCACAATTCAGTTTTCTAATGTATTTGTGAAAAACAGTATGACCTCTATTGCTACAATTTTTTAAAGCTGTGTTCTAGATAAGTGAGTTAGAGATGCGACTACAGCTCTGGAAAATAGCAAATTAAACTATAAAATTAGTACTTGAATAGTCAAAGCTGCCAATCAAAGTGTGGCCATGGACATCCTAGGGACATTTCGTTCAAAAGTTACTAAGAATCAGTTTTAAAAGACCGCTTTTAAATTAGTTGCATGAAATACTAGCCACAGTAAGCTTATCCGCATGGTGCCCTGGGAAGCAAGGCTAAAGGAACACTAAGTATTTCTGAATGAAACTGTCTGTAAAGGTTTTTCCAAGTCGTGGTTCACCAGCTCCAGCACACGATACACAGCTGAGGGAACTAAAATGGCACCTTGGTCAAACACAGTATGGATCTGCAAAGGATTATCACCATCAATTAATAACCCTATGTACAAAAACTCAAGCTCTATGGGACAAACTCTGCAAAACCCTCATGATGGCCAAAATAGCAGCTGCCACACTGAAGTCCTTCGAGTTTACTTACACAGGCCAGAATTCAGCACATGCCCTTCCAGAATGGGGACTTTGGGCTCTACAAATCTTCCTCAGCAGCATTCCGTCTTGGAGCAGAGCTACCCAGAAGGAAGACCCGATACACTCAGAAATTTAACGGCACGCCACTGATTTATCATTTCAACCCAAAGGCAAGGAAAAAAATACCAAAAAAAGAAAACCATTTCCTTGCAGCCACAAAACAGGTTGTCCCTGGGTCACCTTACCAAAGAATTATCTTACCCCCACTCTCTGGAAGAGATCAGAGACTGTTTATCAGTAATGGCTTCAGACTTCATGGCTCCTGGAGCAGAGGAGCCCAGCTGCACCATCATCCAGACTTTACAGCCTAACGTCCTGTGGCCTGCAGGGCTAGAAATGATGAAAAGTATAGATTTCTGCTTCCCTGAGGGGACCGCAACACTCGGCTGTGGTCTTAAAGAGCCTGAGGTCTCTTACAATCAAAGATTTTTTTTTTTTTTAACAGCATTACAGACTATTTTAGGTTATTTTTAGTGAGTTTAATGGCTCCCTTGGAATCGTGCAAAGTGGGACTCGCAGTAAGTGCAGCACCTGGCTTTGCAGGTGGGGAATACAAAACACAGTCCCAGTACAATTTTAAGATCCTCTAAAAACAGGGTTCTTGGAATAGATGTCATATACAGACTAAGAAATGGTGCAACATGGGGCAGGGCTTCACATGGCTTATGTGAGGCATATCAGGGTAATTTAGCCATTAAATTCCAGACACATGATGCCACAACATGTATTACACACCATGGCATAACACGTGCTCCTTCTGACACTGCACACGCACATAATGTGCAGCTCTTCACTGTGGTATAAAATCAAGCAACAGTGCCTTTGGTTGTTCTGTTTCTAAATTTCTGTCTTTTAAGGCCAAATTCAATTTGACCAAATTCTTCCCACAGCACATCAAGATTAAGAAGTCTGGGGAATCATCCTGCTATGCCACTGTAAATTATCACAGTTCCACTAACTTTACCCTAACAGGAAATGCCACAGAAGTGCTCAGAATTCAACAGTGATGAATTTAACATGCCTACTTCCACTAGCCTGATGTCAGCAGAGTTACAGCAATTTCTCCAATACAAGGATCCATCCTCTTCTCCTTATCCAAGCATTTGATCAAAATCAGTGACATGGAAAAAGACAACCTTACTTAATTTGAGCAGGAGAGTCAGGCTTGTCACTCTAACATCTTAAGAAAAAGGGAGGTATTTACATATGGGTACTTGTATATTCTTTTTTATCTGACTTCACAAAGATAACAGCAAGATCATTTTCTTCCACAGTAAAAACTAGTGTGAAACCTCACAGAGGACCAGCATTTTCCCTTGCTCTTCCCTCCCTCCTTTCCTCTCCTTTGAAAAAGCAACACCTTGAGATATTTCAAAATCTCCATTAGCCACTTCTCTGCTTGTGACAGCCTGGTTGTATGGAGTTGCTCCAACTCCCTCCGTTCAATTCACCCTCGAGTCAAAGGAAAAACTCAATTTCTGATGCAATATGACAAAAAGCCCACATTGCTGAACACCACTGCCACGTGGCTTGACCTGCCAGCCATCGCAAGCAGCAGGCTCTACCCCACGCCGCAGTTCTCGAGCATGTCAAACCAACAAATGAGCTAACCAAGCAGTCACGCTCTTGAGGATGCATTTGAAAAAAGGGGATGCATAAATTCACTCATTCGGAAACCTAGTCTGTTCAAGAACTTGTTACTATGACAATTTAGAAGAAGCTGCTACAGCTAAGATTGATGAAACTTATTGATTAATTTTGTCTCAAGCTATGTTTGAATTTTAAGTTTTCTCTAAACAGAACCAGTTCACATCAGTTTGTTAGTATTCCAGGGACCCAGCAACGTGCTTCAGCAGTGAAGGAAGTTCCATGATAAATGTGTTCTCCAATCTGCATCTGTAAAGTAGCTATAAAATCAGAATAATTCATGCAAAATTTTTCATTACGTTTCTAAATATACTTATTTACATTTTAAATCACACTTAGACAATAAGAAATATCTTTCACTTAGACAGGTGGGAACAAGAAAACACATGCATCCATTAAGCTTGAAACAATTCAATGAATTAAATAGTACTTGGTGAATGCTTTGGTTTATGGATATAGCCCTTGTTTAACCTTACTTGAAAAAACACGGCCATGGCTCCTACTACCCTGTTTTCTAGAACTGCTGTTCCAAAACTGTCAAAGTCATCAGGATTGTAGAAGTAAATCTGCATCTGTAAAAATTAAAAACAACAAAATCACATTAGTGTTGATTCATACAGCTTTCAAATGAGGCAACGCATACACATCGTACGTAAACCCAGTGTTATGAACCTGAGATAAAGGAATTTTGCTGAACAATATTGTTTAACTAGCACCTTGATTAATAGCATGACTGCCCTACTGGGACAGTAACCAGGGAACAGAGTCAATCCAATGCATTTTAATAACAAACCCAAGGATAAACAGTACGGCCACTCTGCTTAGGTGGTAAACTTTGTGCTTTCTGCAAGGATCTCTTCATTTCTTTGCTCATTGCAGGCTCATCTCCTGCTCTATTAAATGTGCTAAACATATTTATCTCAAAAACCATAGAAAATTTTTGAAAAGGATTTCAACATTTTGAGTTATTCCTTTACCGCTAAAGCAATTTGTAAGATAAAAGTCTGACTCTGTAGCAATGCATTTTTATGAGCCTCTGATATTCAGGACTATCAGTTAGGGTCAGACTTCTCCCTGACTTCAGTTAAATTTCATTACTTTTATTTCCAAAGCATTAGTACTCGGCAAAAAGTATAAGTGAGACAAAACCAGATATTTTGATGTCATTTTAGGACAAATAATAAATATTAATAATTAGGCAAACCCAAAGTGAAAGCAGGTGAGAACAATGATTACCCCAAAACAGCAAATGTCTGAGCTACACAAATACAGGAGGACCGAGAAATAGCTTCCTTCATACGCTCTGCTGTTGAACAATCTGGTTTACCAGACACGCATGCCATGAATAAGGGCAACTCACAGAGGGCTGTGGGCGCTACTGCTCTTGATTTCCTGTACGGTTCTTGTTCCATTTACCGCATTAGCTGCCAGCCGTCCCAACACACTGCTGCTTCTCCAGCAGCTGTTCAACCTCTCCGTTCCCAAAGAAGCCCCTAGTGTTAGTCCATCTGTATCAGCCATTATTTTCTCCAAAGGATCTAGTTTACATCCAAAAGATGCAACACTCCCTTCTCAACATTACACCATGCAGAGGTATACGTTTTCATAAAATAAATTCAGTATTGGTAACATCTGTTGTATGTGTGCTCTACACATTACAGATTAAAAACATGTGCCTGACGGTAACAGCCAAGCACAAGAACTGGACTTTGCAGTGGTTGCTCTTGGGGCCATTCAGGGATCCTCCCCGGCCGATTTTACAATCCTTATGAGCCTTGGTGCGTCTGTGGGGGCAACACTACTACAGGACGGTTGGCCAACGAGTATGCTCACTCGTGCACATTGACTCCAGCAAAAAATTCTGTTCCTGGCTATGAAACAGGAACGGACCCATCAGGCTTCTCTGACGCTGGCCTCTTGCCTGAACCTGTGCTTTCACTCCTGCTTCTCTGCTGGCCATCACCCGTTACCTGACCTATTCAGGCTTTTCACAGCATTACTAGGTGGTAAGAAATAGCAACACAGTGCATAGTTAAATGGAGATGTAAGGTCTAGCTGAGACTGTCCATGCGTCCCGACACACTGCTGGTCTGACCATCGCTCCCTCCTGCAAGTCTGTCTGCAGGCAAATGCTCTGCTGGCACCAATAACTTGTTTGGGGCTGTTTGGGTTTTTCCAAGATCGTGTTGCGTAACAAATCCTACCATATTCACAAATGCAAGTATTTTTCCCATATTCTGAAATTTGGTATATTGACAGATGAGATGATACCCTTTTATCTTGCTCAGATATGTTCCTACTCATATTTACTGATTCCCAGGCTTCTGACTGTATATATTGGCTGTAATGTATAATACTGACAAAGCACCTATACATCTAATAAAACATCACCATATAGAGAAAAGGCCAAGATGAAGATCAGTCTCTTCAGAAGGAGGATAAAATAAGACCACACTCCAAATGGCTCACAAAAAAATGAAAAAGTGGTCTGGCACTCACTCTAGCTTCATAAAATTTGAAAGCAATTTTCTTCCCCTATTTTGGCCTTCCTATTCCCAGTGTATTCACAGCACACACAGAGATGCTGGCAATATCTCACAAAGTTGGTGGTGCCTCTAGGTTCTGACAACTCGTGCTTTGAACAAATGTAGACCGAGGTACAGCCATTCATTGATGTAGAAATCAGAAACAGTTTGTTTCAGGTAGAATTGCTTAAACTTCAATTTAGCCAGAACAGACAAAGCTCACAAAACACTCACAAATTACATTTTAGTCCCCTTTAAAATGAATCCTAAAATTAGGTATACCTTACATAAAGCACTTCACTATATAGTCCTCATAGGAGTTTATGAAGAAAAGTATCACTGAGTGAGTTCAGCATATGCCAAAATCATTTTGGATCAATTTTACTCACGATATTTTAAGGAAATTAATTTTTACAATACACTTTTGGATAGCAGTGCAAAGGGCTTTGGTAACAAGTGCTTAATTCAGATCCCTCGTCTCAGCAGTGCAATTTCACAGACTAATCAAGAACCACACTCTGCCTTGATTACCATACACATTGAAACATTTTACCACTGCTCCCTGGTGTTTTTCCAGAGAGCGTGGTTCCTCTCTCTGCATCCATCAAGTCAAGGGGAGCTGTCTTGTATGAAAAATTATCATCATCTGTCATACAGTAGCTTTCTTATGTGTTCATATAGCTAGAAGGAACATTTTAGGAGTAGAATCTCCCAGGAATTGCTATTATATAATTTACACATGCATACACATTTACACTTAAAAACAATGTTAAGAAGATGGAAAAGTTACATCCTCAAAGCTGCGTTGTTCAGGCTGCTCCTAAAACCACACCTGGACATGGCTGAGCATTAGTATTATGACAATTTTCTAATTATGTGATCACATATTGTTCTCTTCCACAGCACAGTCTCATCTGTTTTCCCCAATTTACAATAAAATGTAAATGTATCTAGCGTATTTTTGTTCTTTTATACAGAATATACATAATCCCGAATGCATTTATCAGTAGATATCTAATTTAATATTTTCTATGGATGACAATGTTCTTCATGTACAAATCAGGAATAAGACAGTTAACTATAAAATTAATTTCACTGCATACTTGAGTAGCCTAAACATGCTAGAAAATTTTCATTATTACTCCTTATTATATAAGTAGTATATACAATATATGGTGCATTTTGCATATAAATGACTTCTACTGTCTCTGCCTGGTTCATGCAAAGCAGTAGTACAGAATGCGACAAAGGGGCATTTAAGCTAAAGAAAATTTGGATCTTATTGTAATGTGCTATTTGTGAAATGCAGAATGGAGCATCAGCCAAGCTCGCACATCCAACCTGAATTGTGGCACTGCCTGATTTCAGCACCATAAACCATACTTTTCTTGTACATTTTTGCACGTGATTTCAAAATAGCTTCTATTTTCCAAAAAAATAATTAAAAAAATATTTTTAAAGGCTCTGAATCCCTTAGCAATGGGAAAGCCTGACATACCCTTTGTAGTTTCTATAGTGTGACACTGTCTGCAGTCAGAATGCTCTGTCCCGCACATCCCTGCTGATAGTGCTCCACATAGCCTTCCCGATGGCATAGGTCCCAGAGGGCATGAGAGTCCTGTTCTCTATGGCACAATATTCTAGATTTAGAAGTCTTTCACATCTAGCCCCATTACAACTAACAAGGCTGGGAAAGGCTTACACGGACTTCCTTAATCTCAGATGTGCAACACAGCAGTATGCTTGCATGTACCTTGTAAAGATCTATTATAAAAAACCATGTAGCGTCCAAGCAACTTGAAATTTTCAGTGTTTTGATAAGGCTAAGCTGAAACAAACCACCCCTGGTGATTCAAAGGTACTTTTCTTGCAGGAAGACTCTCTCCATCCTAAAATGCTACCAACAACTACTGCAGCTACAGAGGTTTACCAAGGCAGGGAGAGGGCAAGAGTTTGCTTTTAATGGAAAAACTTTATGCTTTGACACTCTTCACACTCTAAAAGAGTAGAATTGTTTTCACTCAAACTTGAGAGAGATTTGCTGTACAGCACAGATTAAGCCTGAAAAAATCTCACTGAAGGGAAAAATCTTCAGGACGTTACAAGTGCCTTAACACAGAGGATTAGAGAGAAAACCCTCACTCTGCCATAACCCAGGAGGTAATTGCCAGTCACCCTATAAAACCATGTCATGTTTTCTAGTCTCTTCTGTCCAGGAAGATCCAGTGCCCAACCATTACAGTTTCCAAGCTCTCCAGGCCTTTTTCCAGCTGACAATGCTTACACAAATGAATACACCACATACATCCAACACCTGAGTAATTCCCCACCCTGGGGCATCTTTGCCTCCATGCTCCTACCAGCTACAACAGCCCTCCACCATGCCATGGGGCAGGCAATCCCCTCTTCCTCGAGGCCAACCTACTCTCTGCAGAAACACCTTTCCCCAACCGCAGTCTTCCAAATTCTACAGAAATCTGGTGTTCTCCAGAGCTGGTAAAATGTCAGGCCCTGCTCTGTGCTTAAGAGATTTTGACTCAAAACTGGGCTGCCACCATGCTGATCTTGTAAGGACAGGCTGTCCAAAATGTGCATGTGTCTTACTGAGAAATACCGCCCACCAGAGATCAGTTCTGATTTTATTAAGTACAATTGTCTCTGAATGACTAAATCCTCTTTATGAAATGTCACCGGCTTGCAAAAACTGAGCTTGATTCAAATGAATGACTTCTCCCTGCCACAAATAAAAGGCTCCAGCTCTCTACTCGGATGCTCCTCCTCTGCTTGGCCAGACAGACATCCAGACAGAAATCACCATTCCTGTGCATGACATCTTTTTGCTCTTATTACCCCACTACAAAGACGGAAAGTTTACATCCAATACAGACTATCATGGCTAAACTCATTCAGCACTTAAGCGAGAAAAGCCACAATGAGCATTTGATAGATCCCAGAAGATGTAAGCGAGTTCAAAGCAATTCTAAGAGACTGGAAACCAAGCAAGGACATTTTCCACAGACACATGCCAATTACTTTAAAAAATAAAT